CCCCAAAACCCCAAAACCCCAAAACCCCAAAACCCCATTTTCTGTATAAATTATTGAAAACGCAATGGCTGACTTAGCAATCCACCCTGACGTAGCAGAGGCTCTCTCTATAGCTCAAAAGAACGAAAGTTCTGAGAACTTGATCAAATTCATTCAGAAAGTTTCTGAGAAAAAGGAAAGATCATGTTCTGAATTCGTACTTGATTTCGCAGTGAAACTAATCTCAGAAGGCTCAGATATCCTAAAACTCGAAAACTTTAAGGTTTTGGAAGAGGCATTTCTTGCTGCAATCGAGTGCAAGGCTCTCGATTGGGCTAATGCTTTTCTGATCAAGATCAACGACCATATTCCTAAATCTCCTAAATCAATTAGATATCTGGCGATGTTCCAAGAAGCATCAGGAAACCCAGAAGAAGCTAAAAATTTATATAGGGAATGAATTAAAGCTGATCCTGAAGATACTGCTGCATACAGGCGTCTAGCTGCTTATTTAAGAGACTCAGACCTAGTAGATGAGGCTATACAGACTCTTAATAAAGCACTTGAAATGGATATGTCAGACACTCAGATTTGGTTTGAATTATCAGATATCTACCTTGCTCATATGAACTATAAGCAAGCAGCTTACTGTTTTGAGGAAATTCTTGTCCAAAAGCCAACTAATTACCTATACAATCTTAAATATGGAGAGATCCTATACTCAATTGGAGGAGGAGAAAATCTAATTCTTGCCAGAAAATACTTCTCTAAAGCTATTGCTTTAAATGATAAATCAACCGGAAGCACGAACAACAGCGTTAAAGCAATCTGGAGCTTGCTCGAAACCTGCAAGAAACTTGAATCAATGGGTAGAAAATACAAGGATGAGGTCAATGAAGAGCTTATAGAGATGTGTAAGGAAAAACTAACCAAGGCTTACTCCAAAGAGTCCAAATTTGATATTGAAGAACTTAAATAACCTAGCTAAACTCAATATTAACAAGTGGTAATGGGGTTTTGGGGTTTTGGGGTTTTGGGGTTTTGGGG